GATATTATAATTATTTAAAGGTTTCTTGTTGATATAAAGCAATCCTAAATTTGGCACTTTTATTTGCTGAAATTTTGTAGGCAGTTAAAGTTGTACGGTTTTCATACGTCTCTTAAACAAAATTTCCATAATTGGAGGGAACATTTCTCACTTAAAGCCACTATATAAGTACTAATTCACATTTTTACACTATTTACAACTGGTGTAGCCATGACCTCTGATAATACAGGCTACAATGCTTTCTTTCAAGGTCGTACGATCAGGTTTCAAGTATGTCAACAAAACAATTGATATTGCGTGACTTCCAGTGTGACATCCATCACATATTTTAATTAGACGTACTTGAATCATACACGTATTTTTCTATTGCGCTAAATTGTTAGGGGATTTTAAAGTTTTATAGCTTTTTTACATACAATGTAATGTTGTTATTTTCATGGAAATTCACCCAAGCCTTAGTCAAAGTGATACATAATTATTCATTTTTACGCCTGCCGTAACTGAGTAGCTCCCAGTTCTTATACGGAACGTTACTTAACAGCTTACGATTAATTTAATACTCGTTGAAGCTAGCTAACTGAAATGAATGCCCATACCATATCTACTAAAAAAAAGAAATGGATTTTGGTGGCCAGTCTACGAATATTTATTTTAACTAGAAAATAAAAGGAATGCTGAATATCAAATGATTGTTCCATTTGTTTTKTAAACGGGCTTAKAMWTCATACAAAACTATGGTAGATATTTWAWAATCAATAAATTCTTAATAAAAGCTAGCTAAAAATGACKTTTGCCTTGAAAAAAAGTATATAGTTCACTGTTCAACATTCAGTTCATCGCTTGTCCCTTAGACAACGTTTTCTAAGATCTGGAACGTTTTTCAAGTTATTCAACACACGAGCAACGCTGGACCAAGTCCTCCAGAGGCTTTATAAAGGTCTTCTTTTTGCCTTTGGGCCCTTCGATTGGAATTCCAATAGTTTCACATATTGCTGTTAATTCGCGTACTTTCAATGACATCAGTTTCTTCTTTTGGCTTCATGAAGATGTTTTGAGGCATCGATCTCAACAACAGCTGCTCGACATCCCTTCAACCCACCATAAGACTCCAGTGCTCTTTTCATGTCTTCAGCT